ACACTCTGTCTCTTCCCTTATCCCTGCCCCCCACCCCCTTCTCCTGTCCCTATCAGAGTCGACAAATATTTTTCCTTGCGGCGTGCGTGATGCCATTTGTTCCCCACTGTTCACTCGTTATCATAAGGGACATGGAACAACACTTCTTTCGCCTCCTAAATCTCTGATACCATAATCTCGTATGTCGTGTTTTTATCTTCGATATAAAAACGCCCCACTTGTAACATACATTTACTTCTGACGGAGAAATAAAAACGATTCGGTAAGGTCTTTTCATATCTGCTGCGCGCCCTTCCCGAGATTAGATGAATGTCCCTTCCCCGAGCATAGCTGGGATTCCATGCAAAGAAAATTCCCGCCCTCGGTCAGCGCTGGCGGCCGTGTCCCCGCCGCATTCCTGCATAGCTCGGAGAAACAAACTGAGCAGCGGGACGGGACTGGTGAGCGGGCCGCGGCCTGGACAAGCAACAAGGTGAGAAACGTGCGCGGGGAATTTGCCTGGAGCTTCCTGTTCCAAGCCGATAATCTGCTTGGTCGGGCTGCTGGAGCCCAGTGGAGCGGTGCGGGGGAGTTGCGGGGGCGGCGCCCATATCAGATGGGACTAGGGGGGGCCCGGGCGGTGGAATGAGGTGGTGACCGCAGCCATTGCAGGCCCTGGTGGACCAAAGATGCCCCCCCCCCCCTCCTCTCCCGCACGCAGACTTCCCTCGGGCCGGTGCTGAGGTGGCGATTACCGTTGACCCGCTAGCTGACCCGAATAATGTGAGACCCATCCCATCCCATCCACGCTTCCCTCCCCCACCGCCCCTCCCCGAGGCTGCTGGCTGTCACCCCGTCCGAGTCCTCTTAGCTCTGCGCCCCGCCCCGCCCACACCCGCCCGAGCACACCCACGCCCACGCCGGCACCCGCACTTTACTTTAGAAGAATTAATGGTAAGGAAAGGGCGTGGATCCGATCCCGCGCCCGCTCCACCAACGAAAAGTCTTTGGAAGGGCCTCGTCCCGTGGGCGGCGGGCGGGGCGAGAGAGAAAAAGACATGGTGCGGTGATTCGGGACCACGGAGGGAAATAGAAGGGAAGAAGAGGGACAGGGGCTGGTGGTAGTCGTGGACGTGCGGGCGGGGGCGGGCGGGGCGGGGCCCTCCTTAGGCAGCAATTTGACTCCCTCCTGGCTACTAACAACTATTACAGCGGCCCTCCCCCGCACTCCCCCCGGGCGGGAGCGAGGAGCGGGGGCGGGGGCGAGTGGGATGATTGTCATTGAAGGGGGGCTGCAGTGCTGCCAACTCCAGGGCCGCGTGGCGGTCCTGAACGAGTCCTGGGGGAAGATAAAAAACCCCGGAAGAGTGCGGCCCTGTATGCTGTGGCCCTGCCCGCTGCGCGAGGCCAGTGGGATGGACTGCTGGGGGCCCAGAGGAGGGGTCCGGCCCAGCCACTCCTGACGGTGGTGACAAATGGTTGTCCGCATCGCTCTCGAATGTTGGCTGGCAGTCGGACTGCTGCGCCTGGATTCGCCACCCGCTCCCTCCATCGCTCCACCTCCATCCTCCCCCTCCCATCCCCCTCCAGAGCCACCCCTCATTTACCCCTGGCAGCCTGCGCACTGCTGCGGATAAACCGGGACGAGGGCAGAGCGAGAGCGGGCATTGCATCTCCTTTAATTAATTGTAAACCGACTATGCCTTGACTGCCTCCTAAGCCTCCCCCCCCCCCCATCGCCGTCCACCACTCTCTCTCCCTCTCCGCGTTGCCGCGCTGCACCGCGGGCGGGACCACTTTGCCGCACGCCACTCCCTACTCCGACGCCACGCCATCGGCACGGCTTTTAACATGGAAGAGGGCAATTTAGGTGGGGAGGGAGGGAGGCGGGGGCGGGTGGAACTTTCTCCGCAAACTTCCGACTTGCGGTCGTGCGGGGTTAACTTTGGACAGGGCTGCGACACGGTGTGCCAAAGTAAGT